TGCACTTCATTTTAAAAGGCGAAAGATTTATATGATCTGAAGAGAAACCAGAGTATATTGTACTCCATTTTAATGTATCTAATTCTTTTTAATTACCTTTTTGTTCTTGAAAAATTAAACTGACATAATTGTTGTAAGTCCATTTTCCCTTCTTGTTAATCAGAATTTCCTTGTCATCACCATTACTATCTGTTTATTATTTTGGAAATTATTCATTTCAAAAGTCCATTAGAATTGGAATGAACTAATATCAATTGGGTTAAGTATTGACAGGTTTATAATACTTAGTTAATGCATTCAGGAGCATGTATCTTTCTTTTCTTAAACATGTTTTTGTAATGAATTTGTATCTTTAGATCAGTCTTAGTTACTTCCGTTAATATTATGCACAAGATTTCTTTTGAAAAGTATTATTTAGTAAGTTACTATCACTACACAGACATATTGTGGGGCATTCCCTCCCTTACTCTAGCTGCTTTCTTCTATCATCTTGTACTTTTTATTTGATTCTTTATTATAATTAAAATTCTGACAAATTATTACTTGTGTTTGCTTGCCAGTGTCATTGTGAGTAACACCAGGCCTTATTTAAAAGATGTTTTTCATATACTGTATGGTGTGTTACATTGTAATGACTTTACTAGATGCATTAAGTTTTCTTGTTGATTGACATGTAAAGTTCCCAAGTTCGGTTCTTAAGAAGAAGTGGGTATACTAGAGCTCAGAGCAGAAGGAAAAGGAAAATGTATTTCATTTGCTATTTTGCAAAATAAAACTTACCTGCACTAATAACATTTTACTTTTTTGTTTTAGTTTAAGGGATTTGATCCAAATCAGCTAAGTGTAGCCACATTATTGTTTGAGGGGGACCGTGAGAAGGTTCTTCAACATGAAAAACAAGTGTATGACATTGCTGCAAAATTTGGGTATGGTTTTTAGTTCATACTATCAAAGGAAAATCTAAACTTATGACATCTCCAAACATTTATTACTGTGCCAGGCATATAGCCTGCTTTGTCTCCAGGCAGTTATTTATTTGAACTTAGTATTACATTTGTGGTAATTTATGATAGTAAATTTAAAATATTATTTTGGTTTACTTCTAAAATTTATAGTAAGTTAAATTGATGTGTATTGCTCTTGTCTTACTATATATTTGTATATTAAATATTTTATTGTTTAGGAGATTTTTATACTAATACCAATATCATTGATATTTATTATATGTTGTAGTAGAATAAAATAGGAAAACATTCACTGTCATGTTATTCTTCAGTGAGAATAGGGTATGTATAAAACGTGCTATTAGTCTGTTTTTAAAAGGAAATTGTGTTTAATCCCTGATATTTGATTAATTATCTGTACCCCGCCCCCTGTCACTTACTGTTTTGTCCTGGTATAAAGAAACAGAAAACATTTCACACATATAACCTACTGAGTAATGATAGGGTGGTTCCTGTCTGTCTGCTTGATGGATTATAAGATTGATCTATGAGAACTATAGTGGAAATGCCATTTATCAGGACTACATTTTTTTTCTTTTCCTTTTAAAGTATATAAACTGTTTTCTAGATATTAGTCATTATCTTTTTTATTTCAGGGGTTAGAATAGATCATATCCATTTACTTGGTGTGAGTTCTCTACAAATATTCGTTGCTGTTCTATCCCCTTTAAAATATAAAAAAACACTGTTTGGAGCTATGTGTTTTTCAGCGCTCTTCTTTCATGTCTCTTTCGTATGTACAACTTCTAGGGTTGTTTCAATTTAAGTACAGTATTGTGAGAGTGAGAAAATGTGTGAACTTAGACTTAAGTTTTCATTCATTTTTGTACTGTTTTTCAATATTAAAAATTAATATATTGGTTTTATCCTATTCTGAAATTGCAAAATGTGTTTTAATTTCTTTAGTAAATGATAAAATTTGCTAGTCTTTCACCGTTTCTCTTTCCATATTATCTTATTTTGGAATTACATTGTTTTAACTAAATTAGTTTAAAGTAATCATGTTGCAGAGATTCATTTAATGATTGAGTGGCTTAGAATCCAAGTCATCTTTTTTATTTGAATTTCTCAAATGTACATGTTTTCTTTCCCAGAAGGAATTTAGCACTATGTATCTGTTTTTTTGTTTCTAAGTTATATGAATAATACGATTATAGGGCTTTTTTCCCTTTCAAATATGGTCTGAGTCAGAAAAAAGTAACTGAGGAGATTTAAATTGAAATCTTTTATGTGTACTCTAGCCTTAAATATTAGGGACTGAAACTTTAAAAAATTTTTTCCTTATATGTTTAAATATTTAAATGAGATTTCAGAATTTTCTAGAAGGACTTGGGGGAGATTGGAGAGGACAATTTTCTGTAGCATTTGAATCACTGATAGAAAACTAAATTTAATTAGTTTTACCCCCCATTCTTCTCCCACTCCCAGTACACACACACACACACACACACACACACACACACACACACAATTATAATTTAGAGCAGCTAGCCGGTCATTACTAGTTAGTAGTGTGCCACATTTCTTGTTTGACTAGGGTATGATTGTAAAAAAATGCCTATTTGTTTTACCTTATGTATAATTGTAGAACATGACGTACCTTTTCTTGGGGATCACTGACAATGCCTGGAACATACTAGGTGCTTGATTAAATTTTTGTCAAATGAATTAAGCTGAGTAATACACTTTTTCCTTATGTCTTTTTTGTGTTTCATTTATTTCTAATTACTTTAAAGTATGAAAATTGGTTTAAATCTTTAGATATTTGTCAGTTTTGTTTAGGTTGAGCCCCTATGAGTATCAGTAATGCCAGTTTGGTTTTCTTATGTAACTATCCATTTACAATTTAAAAATAAGTTCAAATATTTAAGATATTAGATCTAGCTCTCTTCAGATAGTGATACTGGGCCCCAGAACTGTTGGTTGAATTCCAGCAATTTTGATTAAATAAAGCTTATATAATTTTTATTCATTAAAATAGATTTAGTAAGTAAGATATCAATTTGCAACAAAGAGAAAGTACTAAAAACAAACTTTTGCCCAGATTGAGGTCCCATTTTGGCTTTTATTTGCTCCTTTTTGTTGTGTTATAATTAATATCTTAATGTACTTTAATTCTGTCTTCCTTGATTTAGATAAGACAATCTGTTTTTAACAACCCAGATTTTCATTAGGGAGATGACTTAGGGCTATTTTTATTTTATGTTTTTATTTTTTATTTTTTTTGTCTTTTTGAGACAAGGTCTCACTGTGCAGTTCAGGCTGGCCTTGAGCTCACTTTATAGCCCAGGCTGGTCTCGAATTTCACTGATCCTCCTGCCTCAGCCTCCTGAGTGCTGGGATTACAGGCGTGTGCCACCACGCCTGCCTTCATTTTTTGATACTTGGAAACTGGAAGCACCTTTTTCAGGTTTTCTAAGGGAGACCCTGTTTGCACCGCCTCCCCACCAGTTCTCTCTAGACTGTAATTTTTTGTTCTGATTATTGAAGGCTTGGGGATATTTTTCTTATTTAGGATGTCACTGCCCTGCCCAATCCTGAATCCTTAATCATTTCTCTTTTGCTTAACCATTTGGAGGAAAGTACCATCAAGTTTATTTCTACTAAAGTTTTTATATGTTAGTTTCACTAGTGTATTCTATTTTTAATTAGGCATTATTAATCTATCCTTTATTTTCTCTTTTTTTGTTGCACTTCTGTTCCCATTGTTTCATTAGGTTGAATTAATTCCTTTTAGTGAAGTAGCCTCTCAACAGTTCAGAGTAGTTTTCTGTGTTGTTTTAGCCATTTTTCTCTTTGCCTTTCTCTCCCCACTCCAACACTCTTCAGTACTTTTGAACACATATGACCCAACAGAACATAGTAGCCAGACTTTGAATAATCATACTTCAATCATACAGCCGTTGTTTATCCATGCGCTTTTACTTTGCTAAGAACTGAGCAGAATAAACACTACCTGTCAGCACTCCGGACAGGTGTTTTGACATTTATCATAGAGCTGAAGGTAATATGTAAAATTTTTAAAGTATGCTTAAGTTGTTTAACGTACTTTAACATGAGAGTGATTAGGCTCGCCAGATGGCCCTTCTATGTGGAACGATGGTCTCTCACTCCTCTCTCATTAGTCTTCCTGGTCTCTCCTCGTGGCGTAGCTTTCAGTTTCCAGACCGTGGGGATTGGTGTTTTGAAGTTTGTGGGGAGAGCGCGGAGCTGGGGGTGTGTGTTCCCATCTTAAAGCAGTTTGAATCTAAGTGTAGTTTTTTGGAGTGGCTGCAGAAGTGGTTTAGAAGCATTTAATTTCTAAGCCTTGGGATTTCTTATATATTGTATTTTAAGGTCACTCTGGTTTTACGTCTCACAGCTTTGAAAGCCTTAAAAACAAAAAAAAAAAGCTGAATTTGCAGGAAAACTTCTTCAGAAAAGCAAGCCCAGATTCACTTTTCTTCTTTGAGGTTATAAATTTAGAATGGACATCCAGTTGTAGTTTCTTTCTGCTTTAGATTTTTAAAAAGGCATGTTTCTGTTTGTCCCTGGGTTTCAGTATACACCTTCTTCTCCCCCAGATGTTATAACATAATCTGAAGAACTGTAACTTGATGTGGGAGAAGGAAAAGGACCGTCTCCTCCCGATGTAACAAAGGCAGGCCTGCTAAACTGTGGTCAGACCTGTTGCTTCCACCACGTCGCACACTGAGCGTGCTCCTTTTCAAATTTTCCCAGCATAGGTTTGTTGTTTCCCAGCGTAGGTTTATTATTTCCTTTTCTAGGTTTCAATCTCTGTTCCTTTCCTTTTCCTTCTAGGTCTAGGATGAACTGTTTGTATTTCCTAGATGTGTAGTGGTTTTTTTCTTGTCTCTGTTTCATATCTAAGCTGGTTTCTGCTGTCTTTGTCTAAGCACTTGCTATAGCAAAATCCTGGCTCTTTTTCAAACATTACTTCGTGCTACCTTTAACCTCACATCCAACCCAGAATTGTTTTTCTGTCTCTTCTTTTCACTCCCAGCATCTTAACCTAAGTTCCTTCTTATTTGCTTATTAACGTTCTGTTGATTTAATCCTCATTTCATTTACTTGTCCGCAAGTAGTGCTAGACTAGGGCTGCTTCTATGAAGTTTTTTCCTCTCCTTCTGGATGACGCTGTTGTACACATGTAGGGGTAGTTGTAAAGCAGGAAATTCTGATTTAGCCTGTATGTTCTACCCTGAAATTGCCTTAAAACATTTATATAGAACAAGGTTATATCTAAAATGGAGTATTTACTTAGCATCAAGTGCAACAAAACTTCGGGAAAAGAAAGGATTTAATTATGTCAAATGTCATAAGAGAAATGATTACTCCTTTAGTTGACTAAGACAAGTCCACATTTATCTGCTTATGGAAAAAAAAGTTACTATTTACTAAAGATAGTGAAAAACAATGTTCATTTGCTGTTTTTTAAAAGAAAAATAACTTTCACAAACCAGGGTATTTGGACTGAATTATTTATTACATGGAATTGATTCTAACTAGATTATCAAATATAATTTCTATGGGAAAAAAACTACTTTGAAATTGAAACAGGTAGTTTATATGCCACAGTAACAAAACCTGTTGGTCTTTTACCTCTCTATACATTTTTTTAAGCTTTAATATTCTATATATGTTTTGTCTCATTTAAATAACAAATTCCATAAAATGAATATGTCTGACATACCAAATATTATATGCTTAAGTGTTCAAGAAACTTCCTGGTATGTGGAACTTTATGGCTAATTTTCCCAGTCCTCTACATATGAATATGACTATCATATGAATACATGAAGAAGAGTATGGCATGAATTGAGTATCCTTATCGGAAATGCTTGGGACTAGAAGTATTTCATATTTTAGTTTTTTAGACTTGGGAATATTGGTATAGACATAATAAGATATATTGAAAACAGGCCCCAAGTCAAAACAGAATTCATTTATGCATCATAGATATCTTACATGCATAGCCTAAAGAGAATTTTATTCAATATTTTTAGTGCACCTACGCTTGAACTTGGACCCCTCACATGAGATCAAGTATGGAATTTTCCCCTGTAGCATCCTGTAGGCACATAAAAAGTGTTGGGTTTTGGAACATTTTGGATTTTCAGACAGAGCTGTTCAACCTATATGAATAAAATAAGAATGTTTTAAATTATTTTGTTACGCTTTTGAATAGTAAGCTTATTTAAACTTGTTTTTCATGACTAATTCTTTTTCTGCTATTTTGACAATGTGAGATGTAGTTGACATGAATCCCTTTTATTAGTGTGGTAGTGAAAGTTTAAAATTAATATTTAGACTGAAATATTAATGTTTTTAGATTTTTGCTATCCAAGCTTATTTTTTGATAGCTTTTTGATAAAAATGAGAGAGTAAGATAAAAATGAACTGGAATGTAATGTTTGTTAATCTGTTAAGCAGTTATTTTGAAGTAGCATCAGTCTGGTTAGTTTTATATATTTTGAATAGTTCACTTAAGATATATTAACTTGTTTTAAATTACAGTGGATTAGCAGCTGGGGAAGACAATGGACAGAGAGGTTATTTGCTGACCTATGTCATCGCATACATGCGAGTAAGTTCTGTTTCCCTTGTCACTTAATTTATGTTATGAACAATAGTTTCTCCTTTGTGTGAATAAAATTAGCTTTCTAATTTTCTTAAAACATTTAAGCTACTGTAATTTAGCACATCATTTGACAGGAACCATGGGTTAGCTGTGACTCTTCAGAAGCCCATTTAAACTTTCTACATATAAATTTTTTTTTAATTTTAAAAATTTTTTTATTTTTTTGAGATGGGGGAACACTAGTTCAGGAGAGCCTTGAATTCATTTGATAGACTAGGCTGGCCTCGTACTCGTCTCAGTCCTCCTGCTTCAGCCTCCTGAGTGCTGAGATTATAGATGGGTGCTACAATGCCCAGCTCAACATATGCTTTTGAGTAACCTAAAGATGATTTGATCTTTCTGTTTTTCAAAATAATGGAGCCATTTCTGAAAATTGGACTTGGCTTTTTAAACATTAGTTGGTTAGAATCAACCTGATTTATTCAATAATATTTCTTAATTTATAAATTCTTTAAAGGATATATATATTTAATTACATCTTTAAAATTGATATTAAACTTGTTAACTAAATTGTTATTGGTTCACTGGTGATGATTATTATATAAAAGTAATTTCTGTATATTCGAGTACTAAAATTTTTCTTTTTGGTTTTTCTCCGGTACCGGGAACCAAACTCACGACCTTGCGCTAGCCAGGCAGGCGCTTTTGCCGCTGAGCTAAATCCCCAGCCCCTACGAGTACTAAAATTTTTCTAATTACAGATTTTCTACTTACGAGAAACTTCATGAGTTCATATTCATTTCAAGTTAACTGTACTTGTATTCTTTTGAACTTTCATTTCTTTACTTAGTTTTCCCACCTTGACTCTAACAAACTCAGATTTCTTAATCCATTTCTGTTGTTTCTTTTTTTTCTTAGATTTACCTGCTAGGTAATTTAAATTATCTTATTCTGAAAGGTCATTTCTCAGATATCCTACTGAGAATGTGCTTTCCCTTCTACCCCCTCTTCTCTACTTCCTCCTGTTCCTTTCATCTTAAAGACTCACTTTTATATTGGTTGGTTTGTTTGTTTATTGATCGATTAAGACAGAATCTTGTGGGGCTGGGGATTTAGCTCAGCGGCAAAAGCGCTTGCCTGGCAAGCGCAAGGTCGTGAGTTCGGTTCCTGGTACCTGAGAAAAAACAAAAAAAAAAAAAAAAAGACAGGATCTTGCTATGTAGTTCAGGCTGACCTTGAACTTGTGGCAATCTTTCTACTTCGGCCTCCTGAGTGTTAGGATTATAGGTGTGTGCCATTATGCCCAGAAATATTTCCTTTTTAACAGTACTGGGGATTGAACCCAGGGCCTTTCCACTGAGCTGTGTCTCCAGCCCTTTTTTGTTTCATTTTGAAGTAGTGTCTCAAAATAGCTAATTGCCCAGACTGGGCCTGAACATGTGATCCTTCAGCCTTGGCCCTCCCAGAGTGTTGGGATCATAGGTGTTCTGCCATACCTGTGGTTTATTTGTTGTTTGGGCCACTAAAAATCTATTCTGCTAGTCTTCCCATGTACGTAGACATTTCCTAGAGAGAGATTCCGTTCCCTGGAGAAATATTTAAAGACTATTCTGTGTCAGGTATTCTGTTAGCTATTAAGGATACAGAAAAAATCAAGACACATAAAGTTCCTGTCCTCAGGGAGGTTCTTTCTCACTCTCAGGGAAAATTTCTATTGCTCTTAGGTGACAGATAGTAAAGATAGTAAAGAGATTAAAGTAGAAACATGTAATACTAACAATTACATGAAATATTAATAGTATTTTTGATTATTGCATGTGTTGTAGTTTTTGTTATTTTTGTGTTTCTTAACAGGACCTGGGTTTGGAGTACTATATAATAGGAGAATCTTTTGAGACTTCTGCTCCTTGGGACAGGTAAAATCTAATAAAATGCCTAGTGTCATTCACATATACATTATGAATTGCTGAATTAATGTATCTCTATATGTCAATATGTAAAACAAATATTTTATGAAGAAACTTTGAAACAAGATGCGTACTTTTATTTAAAAATATGTTCCCTAGAATGCCACATTTTAAGTGCCTCCCCCCCGCCATGGGAGGGAAATTTGTGATAGAAAAGATAAAGATATTATTGAAGTTTACATTTTTGAATAGCCTTACTGGATACTAAACCACTATGTGGTTCTCCCTAGCTTTGATTTAAATTCTTTTTTTTTTTCCCGGTACCGGGAACCGAACTCACGACCTTGCGCTTGCCAGGCAGGCGCTTTTGCCGCTGAGCTAAATCCCCAGCCCCTGATTTAATTCTTAAGGGATGTATAATGCTTCAGTGTTCTCTAGAATTTCCCATCAAATTATACAACTGGTTAGTTTTTTGTAATACATATTTAGCTTTTGTATGTGTATATATATTAAGAAAGAGCTTTACTTAAGAGTGTAATTTCTGAAAAAAAAATCTTGTTTAAGAACTTCAGTATAATTTTTATTTTTAAGTTTAAACAAAATTGTAATACTGGAAGACTATAGTACAGGAGAATTGGCTGAACTGGGTAAATGGAACTAAATGTCTAGGTTTCTTTGCAGGAAACCGACACACACACAAACAGACATACAAGTATTGGTTAGGAAATTAATAATAACAAGTTATTAGGAAATGTGAAGTAGTTTTATTAAAAATGTATTTGGAATTACTCATTCAGTAATAAAACTTTTTAAGGAGATTGTCAATATGTTATTTTCTTAGATGTCTAGATTTTTCCTTATAAAATTTACAAAGTAATTTAAATGTATAATAAAATATGTGAACTTTAACAAATCCCCTATGGATTCCCTCTTTAGGCATTACATATCCTAACAGTTTATTCTCTCCCAATGTTTTTGTTTTTTGTTCCCTTAGAAAACTTCCTTTTTAAATTGTATTTATCAGTGATGGGTTATACTTTTTGGTACAGTGGTACTCACACTGCATGTGTTGTTAGACAATTACCCAGTTTATAATATCACTCTGTTCCACAATTTTTGACTCTCATTTTTAACAAGGAGAATAAATCTTATAAAATAACTACCAACTCATTGACATCTAGTACTTTTGAACAGCAGAAATAGTGTGGCAGCTCTCCCTAGTGGTATCCAAGACAGTTTTAGTCTTTAGTACCTCGCCTTGCTTGGAGTTTTAGTTTGGGCAGTTATGTGGAATACTACAGACAGAAAGATTTTACTTCTCAGATTTCTGGAGGCTTGGAGTCCAAGGTCAGAGTGCAGCATAAAGACTGTCATGCTCACTGGTATACATCCATCTTCTCATTTGGTCCTCACATTGTGGAAAGCAGAGAGAAAACAAGCCTTCTCATGTCTTAAAAGGGCACAAATGCCATTCATGAGAGCTCCATCCTCATGACCTAATTACCTTCTGAAGGTCCCACCTCCTACTGCTGTCGCGTTGGAGGGTAGGATTTCACTGTATGAATTTGGGTACAGGCAAACATTCAGGCTTTGTCACTGGAGAAAGTGGATTATTATTGTGTTGTCTCTTCAGCATTATAAATTGCCTCATTGTCAGTTAATACTGACTTGTGATTGCTGTCTTACCTTTTTATTCTCCCAGTTGTGGAAGCTAATCGTATGCCATCTTTTTGTTTTTGCTCATCCATTCCTGTATATGTTTACATATTTATTTAACTGATTGGCTGATAGTTCCTGTTTTATATATTTGAGTTGTTTTCATTTAAAGTAATTTCTTTACTTGAAGTTTTAATAAGTATCATTAATGGAACACAGCTACATTTTTTTAAAATGAAAAATGTACTTATTACCCATTTAGCAACTTCTTTTGTTTTTCTCTTACCTAGCTAGTGACCATCTTCAGCAGTAATCTGAAGTACCAGGGTCTTCAGCTTAACACATTATTAGGCCATTGGCCTGTTGTGCAAAAGCCATATAAGGAGTTAATCCATCTTCACTAATCTTCATGTATACGACAGTGGCTCCAGCACAGTGATTGCACCTGTTAGGTGCTCAGTGAATATTCTGCACAGAGTCCTGTGAATGAATTCTGGAATAGTGTGAGAATGCAGTCTAGAAGAATACTGTCCGACTGAGTTGGAGGTGTTAAGTTTTGGAGATAGCAGTAGGAGTCTCATGATTAAAACTCAGGCAGTGGATAGAACACTTACAGATAGTACGAAATGAAGGGAAATCAGAAGGCCTGTGCAAGAAGGCCCAGAGCCTCACAATATATGGGAGAGTCATACAAGGAAAAGCTGGCAGAGAAGATTCAAGGGATGATTTCTAGGAAATCCAGTGATAAAGCAAGCCTAGGAAAAATTGTTTTTCAAGGAAGAAATTAAGAGTGCTAAATTTTAATTTTTTTGTGGGGGTTCTTTTCTAGGGTTGTAGATCTCTGTAGAAATGTAAAAGAGAGGATAAGAAGGGAATGCAAAGAGAAGGGTGTTCAATTTGCGCCTCTTTCTACATGCAGGTGAGTTTTGTTTTAATTAATAGTCCTTATTCTGAAAATCATTTTTGATCAGTGGAAAAATATAATGTGCCAGTTGGGAAGAAGCTTCAGTCTATGTCACTTGGCAGGCTTTGCTGAGCTGCACACACCTTGTTAGGATTTTGCCACTAGGACCCTGTAGGAGCAGGACCCCCCACCCCCACTGCACAAGTGAGCCTTCTGCTGTATAGGGACAGCATGGCAGCGAACAGCAAAGCGTCTGAGCTCCTGCAAAAGAGAAGGACTCCTTCATTCACTGAAACTGTAAATGACGTCTGTAATCAAGAAACTGTAAATTATGTGCTTAGTCAGCACTGCTCTTTATCAGCGAGAAAACACTTTGCTGCTTACGTGAATGGGAGTGGAATAAAGGAACGAGGAGCAGAAGACTCTTGATTAACTCAGTGCTCTCTAATGGATCTTCCTTGGTAATGGAAATATTCTGTATCACAATGTCCAGTATGGCAGCCACAAGCCCCCTGTAGCTACTAAGAGATGAAAATATGACTGTGTGACTGTGGAACTGAATTGTAAAAATTAATTTAAACGTGAAACTCCATGTATGCCTAGTACCTTCCTTATTGAACAGTGCATGGCTAACTGATGATCTTGTCCTCTTTGTTAAACAGCAGCAGCCCAAAAGGTTTTTTTGAGAAGGGATATTTGTATTCAGTCTTTCAGTATAAATTTTCTTTGTAAGTACCAGGATTTAAATGGATAAAGTTAAACATTGGATTTCTCTAGAAAGTTACAGAATTAATTGCAACAGAGGATAAATGGAAATCAAAACTGATCATGGAGAGGGGAACCTTAAAAAAAATCAGCAATCTACCATTTTGTGTCGTGCAGCTGCCTCACCTTTTCCTCTGCTGTTTGTGTGTGTGAGGGGTTCAGTCTGCAGTGTTACAGACATATTGTTGCTATAGAAAGATGAATGAATTAAGTAATTTTGGAAACAATATCTTTTTCTATTATGATCTGTACGTCATGCTGGGCTTCTAAAGTAGGTGTGGTTCAGCATTTTCTGTATGCTTGTTTATACTTGACTTACAATGGCTTGATTTAAGTTTTTTTTCTTACTTTACAGTGGTACAAAAGCATACATACTTGTACAATCATTCTGCTTTTCAGTACAGTATTTAATAAGTTATATGAGATATTTAACACTTTATTATAAAACAGATGTTTTGTTGGATCATTTTGCCCAACTGGAGGCTATATGTTCTGGGCATAAGGTGAGCTAGACTAAGCACTGGTGTTTGACAGTTAGGTTTTTCTGATTTTTTTTTTTTTTTTCTGAGAGCTATGCACTTCAGGCTGGCTTGAACTCACAAAGTAGCTTAGATTGGCCTCAAACTCATGGCGATCCTCCTACCTCAGCCCTCCAAATGCTGGGGTTCTGTGAGTGCACCATCTTAACTGATACATTTTCAATTTGCAGTAATTTCTCCTTATTATGGATTTATTGGGACAGAACCCCCTCGTAAGTTAAGGAGTAGCTATATTTCTATTCATGATGCTGTTCTCTGATTTATCTGGAATTACTTCATCTCAGCCTAGAAAGCACATCTGAGCCTATGCCAGCCCAGGATCAGGGCCTGGCCACCCACTTTACTACCATGACAGCTTTCTGCCAACTTCAACAGTTGTTTATATGGCCAGACTGCGTATGTCTGCTGCTTATTCATAAATGAATCTCAAGTTCTAACTTTATCGTAAGTAGAGTGTACTGGCAGTACTGTCCCTTGATCAGACTGTTGTAAGAATGAAATGAGGAAGCATATAAAAAATGCTTTCAACTCAAAAGTGCTATATAAATGCTCTAGTATTACTGTGATACAGTTACATTAAGTTTGAGGCAAACAGTTCATACTAGTATCAATAAGGAAAATCTGTATATCTGATTTTTTTCCTAGCGACAAGTCCTCATGAAAACATCCCATTACTAAGCCTACTATTTCTTTCTCTTGATTAGTTGACATAGCATGATAATTTGCCTATATTTTGTAAGGCTAGGAATCTTTTTGTACTCTTTAAATGGCTATTTGTTCTGTGTGTGGCTTTTTTTTTTTTTAACATTGTCACATCTTATACTTCCTGACTACTATATTGTTTTGTATTTACGCCTCCCACTGAGAGAGATATTCTTTAGGATTTGCTAAGTTGTGCTCCTGCAGGGTGAGAAAGTAAAATTCTGACATGAAATCTAAGAAAACATCTTTCTTAATCCTTTACTGTTCATTTCAGCAAGGAGGTTCTTACAAGATCTTTTCTGCTTCAGTGTGGGAGGAACTGTCAGTGTTTGATGAGCACTGCAGAAAGTACTAAGTCAAGTCTGCATGCTTTAGAACAAGTGTGTTGGGTTAGAATCCAAATATAATAGCTAAAAATGTGGGGTTTGAAAATTGTTGGCTGTGCCAGGCAATGAGTTCAAGGCCAGCCTGAACTGCATAGTGAGTCCCTGTCTCAAAAAAGAACATAAGAAACAGCTTACGACTTGGTAAAAGCTAATGGTGGCTTAGTGATTGACTGGAGAAAACCTTTCTAAATGAAAATATAAGAATATACATGTTACTTTTTTTATATTTGGGGGATATCTTTAAAAATCATTTTTAAAGAATTAAAATTAAAGTAGCATGAATCTATTTTAAAAGGTGTTAAATCTGAGTAACTTTTTGAAACGGACACAAATCGAGGTTTTCTAAAGGATCTTTTTAATTATTTAAGCTTTATGTTTGTTTGAGTTACTGATCAGGTAGGCCCATCATGCTTTGCTGTGTCTTTAGTAATATCTATAAAAACTACACTGTGTAGTAATATACAGATCCTAAATTGTTGTAAGGTTGCAGCACACTATCAATACTTAGTTTTATTTTTATTAATAATTCTCTTTCAGTGATGTATATTTTTCTAATTGCTATACATTCCTTTTATTCATTTATCCTTCAGATTTTATTTGAATTTAATTATTTCTAACAATAGTGTACTCATAGTTAAAATGCTTCTCCATTTTTTCTTTGTAAATCTGGAACTTCAAATGTAAACATTCAAAGGATCTTTTTTATGAGTGTGAATTAGCACAAGAAGAAAAACACAGCTGGCAAATTGACAGTAGCATTGTTAAATAGTTCATTTCTTCTGTTCTGAGGCACCTAACATTTGGCCTAAAAAGCCATTAAAATTTTAGATTAGATTCTATTTGTATTGTGTAGTAAAAAGAGTATTTCTTCTGTATTTGCTCCTTCTGTTAAATTAAATTCTTCGTGGGAACTCTTGTCAATTGCATTTGGAGATTTGACTGTGATTATCTGAGCTCGCTTTTAAATGCTTTCCTAATTGCATTTTGAAGGCGCATTACCTCATACATATGATATAGTAATCTAACATTCTTGATGTCTTTCTGATAGTATACACACAACATGTATACATATGAGATCACAGACATTATTTTAAGGTCATGTCAGTGTATTTAGTGTGATCATTTGATATGTTTTTCAAATCCTTACTACTTAGTAATTTATACTTGGTGATGACGCTATTTTTCACTTAGCCTAATCCTATTTGGTATTGGAACACTTCTCTCATTTCTGAGTGTTAAGTTCTTATACTTATTTCGGCTAACTTTGAAGAAGTTTGGGAGGCTTACAGCTGATCACCACGTTCCAGTTAATCTGTTTGAGGAGGATCTTTAATAGCAGTATACTTAGTTTTAAAAAAAAAGTCTCTACTGAGGGAAATGGGGTTTTGTTACTTTTAGGTCAACTGAGGAAACATTTATATAGCTTTTACATTTTTAATTTTGCTGAGGATAATAAACCACACTTACAAAAAGTCCCCAAAACAGTGCAGATAGTTCCTGTATACCCTCCATGTATCTCCCCCCAAATGTTAATGTCTAACATAATCATGGCATGATTATTAAAAGCAAAAAGTTAGTTGTTGTTGCAATGCTATTAACTAATCTGTAGACCTAGTCATGTCATTTTTTCTGGCTTAGGATTCCATCTGAGTTACATAATGTGTTTAGTTCTCATGTCTCTTTAGTTCTATTTAATCTGGAGTAACTCTTCTCTTCACCATTCCTTATTTTCCATACCATCACTTTTGAAGAACCCTGGCCAGTAATTTTTTAAATTTTATTTTAAAGAGAGGAAAAAAAATAAAAATAACAATAAACAGAGTTTCAAAAATGGTTAGTAGGAGAGTTACAGTAATTAATAGATTGTGTATTATTGTCTTTGTGGTAGTTATTTAGATTACAAGATATAGGCATGATATCTTGTCTAAACAATATTAGCACAAACCTTTCTTTTCAGTGAAGAGGAAGTAGCTGTATAACTGTCTTAACTGTCTTGTATATAAATACATTTTTTCTTTTTCTCTTTCTTCCTTTCTCCCTTCTTCCATTACAGTGTCTGTTCTTTTGAACAGTTTCTTCCCAGTTCACAATATTAGTACTTTGTAAGATGTCACTCACTTTCAGTTTGTCTGATACTTCCTTGTGATCAGATTGAAGTTACGGATTTTGGCAAGAGTAGCGCAGAAGTGATATGCCAGCCTTGGTGCATTATACCAGGAGGAACATGACATTGAGACAGCTCATTATTGGTGAATTGAACTTCGACCACTTGGTTAAGGTGGTGGGTGCTTGCCTGGCTTCAGAGCTCTTAAAATTACTATTTTTTCCCATTTTATTTAATAAATATTTTCTGGGGAGAAACTTTTGAGACTGTGCAAATATTTTATTTCTGATATCTCTTAATCATTATGCTCCATTAATGATTCTGGATCACATTAGTTATTATTGTGATATTTCTAAGTAGTGATTTTTGGTTTTGTCATCCCTTTTACCAATTGAAACTCATTGTAAGAAAGCATTCACCCTCCTCTTTCTTGCAGTCAGTATGGACTCACAGATATTTTACTCTCTGGGTTATAACCACTATTGTCACTATTCTCTTTCATGTTCAAGTTCTCCCAGATTTGGCCATTGGGAACGTCTGTAAATTGGCATCTGTGTCCTTTTGACAGGGGAAAAGTAGTTTTTGAAGAGGAATAAAAAAAGCTGCTCATGCTTGGGAAAGGTCAGTAATTGAGGCAGGATGAGTAGCATATAAAACATGAGTTCTGGGGAAGGAAGAAAGCACGTCTGTGTGCCCTCGAAGGTCTGTGAGCTGTAGAATTGGTATTAAATGAAGATGCATCTCTCCTGCCTCGCATGCTAGACCAGCAATGATAGCCATTGCTCACTATCGCTTCTTGGAGCTTGGCTTCTTCCTCATGTTCTTTTTCCTGATATTTGAATTGTGGTAACTTTCAGCTTACCCTTCCCTACTCTTTTCCCTCTGTTTGCCCACCTGCTTCCTCTATTTCTGGATGTCTGGTTTTTTCCTCTCCTATGTTACCTTGTGGTTAATTTATCTTGTACCTTGAAATGTGGCATTTTTTTTACCTAGCACAGTATCTTTTATTTTCTGCCAGTCTTCATTCAGGCATACCTTTTGTAGGTACCTTTCCTAGCTTGACCCATCCAGATTGTCCTCTTGTTTGTGTTTTGATAACTTCAGCATTTCCTATCTGTGTAGTCTGTGTACTGATTTTCATGCTACATTAAAACTATTGATGTTGTCTGCCTTGCATGCATCGTCAGACGTTGTATCATACCGAGCCCAGAATTATCAACATTCTTCTCTTCTGTTACTCTATATCCTGAGATTAGATCATATATTGACTATATACGGAGCTTAGAAGTTTCTCCTAGTGTATTTAAATTATCTGAGTTGAAAAAAACCCTGTATTTATTTATTACCTGTATTTATTTCATTTATTTATTAAATTATAGTCAGGAGTGAAGTCTTGCATCCCCCCCCCCGCCATACCCTCAACTTCGGTGGTTTATTTCTTCTGCTCAGAATCTTTTAAGTCTTTTGAGCCATGAAATCCAAACAAATGAGAAGTTCCTTGTCAGAGGATTTAGTGTATTTTCAGGAAGTTATAACGTGCCTACATTTTGTCAAAATAGATTTTTAAAGTAATGAAAATTGATTTTAGTCAGTGTTTGCATGTCCATATATATTTCATGTTTCTGTCTCAGTAGGGATGGGGCCAGTAAACAGAACAAGTTTCCTCTTTCCCATCTACCCTTGTCTTTCTCAAGGAGCAAACGTTTTATATCATGTCTGTTTACTCTGACAATACATAATAAAATCAGCATTTGCACATTGGACTTGTTTGATCTTTTGGCAGGAAAATATGTTTTCAAAAATAATGGAACTTTACTATTTGTAATATGGATGTTTCTCAAGTATTGTCTTAATATAATAACAAGAAGACTAATTGTATATAAAATCAGTTAAATACAGGAAAGAGAAAAAAGTTACAGTATTACTTTTGTCAAGCTGTATGTACTTTTAAATGTCCTGTTAAGTTATTTTGATTATGTCTTTTAAAACAACTAATACCAGTATTTACCTGACGACTTTAAATGTATTTTCACACATAGCTCCCAGGACCTCTAGATAATGCAACAGCTTTAGTAAGACCACTGAAAATGGCATCTTATCATTGAATACTGATGAAATGTATACAACTTTTTGTTATACTTGTTTCAGTAATATGACACAAACAGACAAGAGAAAGATTAAATATATGCTTAGAAAATTGCTACTTACATTTGCCACTAAGTTGCCGGTTGTCATTTAAACAGGAGCAGAATCCTTGTATTTTCTGCCGCATTCTTAGTTTACCTGTTTTAAGCGACAGCTCTACAGAGAAACAGTCTGCATTCCTTTTATGCAGTAGGCAGCTGGAGAGTGAGAGTATCTTTTAAGTTAATCATTCAGGTGACCTTGCCTTTAAGTTTCTTGATGTTGAATCAGTTTTTACTTTAACGTAAAGCTCTTGTGGGGATTCTGTCTGTTTGTTTTTTAGGGTGACGCAGACTTACGATGCAGGTGCATGTATCTACTTCTATTTTGCCTTTAACTACAGGGGAATTAGTGACCCACTGGCTGTGTTTGAGCAAACTGAGGTAATTTTGCACACATGCATGTGACTTTCACATTCTTTTATTAATTTAAATAAACCTTAGTATTGTTTTATGAGTTTTAGTTTGACTCTTTAGTCACATACGGTTTACCTAGCTGCTAGTTCATAGAAAGAAAGAGTATATTTGTTACACTAGATTATGTACTGAACTTTAAGTCTAAAGTTAATGTTCTGTACATGTGTATTGTGTGATTGTTTGTTGTTCCTTATATAATAGCTGATTAAATTATATAGCAGTAGGAATTCTAGTGACTGTTGGAACCCTTGATATCACTTTGACAGCGTACCCATTTCCAGATAGATGGTGTTGAGATCAGCAGCCCTCATTTTTTTGGTCTATGTTGTAATATCACCATTCTGCATTTCTAAAGTCTTTTGAAACTATACTTAAGCTGTTGGCATTCATTTGCTGACAGTTTCTATTATATTTCTTAAGTGCCCTTAAAGTACTCGGTTTTTTTGGGGGGGGGTGGTACTAGGGCTTAACCCTATGCCTTCACACTGAGCTACATTCCTAGACCTTTCATTTTTTATTTTTAATTTTGAGACAAGGTCTCACTAAGTTGTTAAGTTGTCCAGGCTGGGCTTTGAGCTTGGAATCCAACCTCAACCTCCAGAGTGCTGGGATTGTAGACATGTGCTGCCACGCTCAGCTAAGCAGCTAATTCTTGTAAAGTCTTCTGTTGATGGCCAGTGTTTCTCATTATAAGTGTATGTAGAGCAGAAGCAGTAGATGAAACTCTTGGGGAAAACAAATTTCTTGGTAAGTCAGGTCTCCTAATGTTTTAACTCGCTTATGTGCTTGCCAAACAGTACCTTTAAGATAATTTCAGTGGACAGCACACTTTTAGACCCAACCTGTAGTTAGGGTTTGGTTGGCTGCCTCTTACCCCTGTCCTCTTCTTTTTCCTCCTCCCTTTTTTTTTCTTTTTCAGTTTTTTTTTTTTTTAGTATAATTGAAATACAATAAACAGTACATATTTAAAATGTGTAACCTGCTGAATTTTGACATATGTATACACCTGTGAAACCGTCACCCCAATCAAAGTAATATGCTCATCCCCTTAGATTTTTAGTGCTGAGGTGATGGTATCAGAGGTCCCTTCCTGCAGCACCAGAGTGAGGCTGCTTCCTCTTTCCCAGGCTGTACTGTCATTCACTAGGTGCTGCTGATCTCAAGGAATTCCTGCTTTATTCGGAATAAGTTGTTAGAATTCCTAAGTTACTACAGCAGAGATTAGCATACTTCTCATTCTCCTGGAAATCCCCTAAATCCTCAGGAGTGAGGGTTCTTATAGACCACTTTGCAGGGAGAAGTGCTCCATCTGTCCTATCTGGGCTCTTTTTAGGGTTAAAACAAAGGAAATAAGACAAGGTTTTGTTTTTGTTTTGGGTTTTTTAATTTATTTGGTTTTGATCTCACACACACTTAGACTTCCATAGAACTGACAACTGACAATTTGTCCCATGTAATTGATTTAAAAAATAGTCTCCATAAAGGTTTTTATGGTTAATCCCTAATAGCTTTATAAGTAATCTTGACTCTGATGCCTCCTGTATATTAGACAATTGATTTAACTTATTTAAACTTTATTTTTCTTTATCTGTGAAATGGAAATGATTATAAATACAGTGAACCTTGCTTCACAAACTTGATTATTTCCACAATTCTGGTCACCAAAGGAGTTGGATGAGAACTGAATCAAATTTGGTTTAGGTTTAGTGCTGACCTCATGAGGAAATTTGATTGAGTTCTTGTCAAGTTTGTTTTGCAGCCAGGATCATGAAGAGAATTGAGTTTGTGAACTGAGGTACTACTGTGTTTCATAAGCTATAATGAAAATAAATGAAATACTGTAGGCAAATTGCTGCTGTTATTCCAAACATACAGGAAGTAGTTGGTAAGTGTATGTTAATAATGTTTGTTGGTATGAGATGTTTACTGAAAAGTAGAATATAATTCTGCATTCACCACTGTTTACTGATTTAGTCATTAATTTAGTGCTGCTGAATTGGTCATTTTGCCTTTTTTCTCCTACTAGAATCTTGAAGTAGACTTTGTAGGTATTGTGACTATTTACTAGAAAAAAAATCTTATAGAACTAGGTTGCATATTTTAATTGGTTTTGAAACACAGTTAACCCAATGTGGGGGAAAATTATGCTTCTAGTTTGTTATTTAACCCAGGAAGTATGTGCTTCCTTTGGAAATGAGGTCTTACTAGGTCCAAGGTGAAATCTAAATAGCAATGATATGTTGTGTTGTTTCCAAATACAGGCAGCTGCTAGAGAAGAAATCCTTGCAAATGGAGGGAGCCTGTCACATCATCATGGAGGTATACTTTTGGAGGAGGGGGCATATAACTTTTAATATTCCACTTCTTAAAATATTTGCTTCTCTAAAATGCTGGGGTGAGTCATGATGTAAGTAATTTGAGAGCCCTTGAGATTTCCTCAACAGCTTTAGGTCTTAGATTAGCTGTGACTGAAGTAGGATAGGTAGGTTATGGTGGTAACCAACAGAAGCTTGTTTGACAAGGCTTCCTAGACATGGAAGCTGGCCACCATCTGAGTTCTGGAACTTCGTGTTACCAGATAAGAGCAAGGTATTTGGTCATTACACCATAATGTTTTACAGGGGAATAAAAACTCCATAAATGATTTTCACCCACTAATGGGCTGCAGCTGAACATAAGTTGTATGTCTGTTGAAGGGCTGTTTGTTCTGTTCACCCAGAACTCAGCAAGTGAATCAATACAGGATATGGAAAAATCTTTTTCTTCAGGATTTTAATTCTGTTTTGTGTTACTTAATAGCCACTTTAAATTTTATCAAAAAAGTTATCACGTCACAAGTAAAAATGATTGTGATACACATGAGACACATCTACCTCTGTTACTAGTTTGCCGAGGAAAGTAGTATGAGAGTCCATTTTTTAAAAGTTAAACAGTGACCACTCTGTCATTAAAATGGTAAATTTAGATTATTCACCAGTTCTCTGTAACAGAAGTTTGTTCTTAGTTTATCCCTCCATATAATTTGATGGTTCAAAAAAACAGAAATGTATAGATTTTTAGATCTTGATAAGTAATTCTTAGAAAGGAACATAAGGACAAATGATTGCTCAGTTTAAAAGTGCAACTCCTTTGCTGACCCTGGCCTCTTCATACTGTTCGTATTTTATTTTCTTCATAACAGTTTCTATCTAACATGTTTATATTGTATTTTTAAAAATTACCTCTCCCTACTGGAGAGTTAGGGTCCATGAGGATGAGGATTTGGGTTCTGTGTCTTGATGTACACCCGTACCTGGAGTGCTTGGCCCAGTCAGCCTCTGTGCTCATTCTCTGAATAAATGAAAGAGTTTGATGGGAAAAGGAATGGACAGCAGAGGACCTTTGTCTGTATAATCTTCTCAGAGCCAGGCCTGGAGAATGCTAGTGTGAATGAGTATAGTACATAATTCCCAACACCATTATATCAGGTTAATATTTTGTATCACTTTACTCTTTCTTAACCCCACAGATGTTTCACTTGGTAGGCTGAGAAGTAGAGTGAGTGAATTTGTCCTTTTTCCCTTCCTCACTCCTTGTCATTTCTTAGCAAATGTTCCAGTGACAAAAATGAAAGGAGGAGGGTGGATATTAAAAATCTCTCAAGGAAAATGAAAAGTTCTTGATTATTCTAAAAATCTAAACCTAATTTTGGAAATTTAAATAAGAGGTATTTCATTTAAAAACTTAAAATTTTTACTTTCTTTATGATATTCAGAAGGCCATATAAATTATTTAAAATCTTAATTCTGTTTGAGAATGACACTCTTAATATGTAAAGAACTTTTAAAAATAGATACCATGAAGAATTCATATATTCTTCATTTTAAGTTGTCCAAATGGGAGTAGGAGGCAAAATAGTTTAGACATAATTACTTACTTGAAGAAAAATCAGAGTGCCCTTTCAGTATCCAACAGCTTTGCCTTTTGATATATCTCAAGAGCCAGCAGCTCTTCTCTGAAATTGGAAAATGTAGATTCTGTGTTTATAATGATAAAAATGAGAGAGATATGACTCTGAGAGAGGGTAAAAAATAGTTGAATAAAAAATAGTTTAATCAAGTGTATAAGGAGGAGGTACACATTCAGTTGTCATTTAGTTTATTGGCTGTTAATGAGCTATTCCCTTAATTGTGAGATGATCTCAATCCACTCAGGCTTTATAGTGTCAGAAATTCTGTAGAGGTTGGAAATGACCAAGTAACGGAAACATTGCAGAGGAAGGCCAAGGCAAGAGATTTTTCCTTGGCCACTGGTTCTGAGCAGCGGCTCAGGAGCTATGAGGGCATTGAAGCCACTCTAGTAGTGGCTGCACGTGAGGTACTGAAAGTAGAATAGAGCTGAAGTGCTGGTGTTCCTTCATCAGGTTACTGAGAGCTTCTTGCTGGTTCTGCCAGAACCTACATAATATACCTGATGTAATGTCTCACTACAAAAATAAAAAAGAAATACACAAATTTTAAATTATAAAATTAAATACCTACTGTAAATTTACTTGAAATTCAGATTTTATTTACAAAAGCTATGGTGATAACCCATTATATTAATCAACACACAGAAAGATGTTAAAACAATGATCATTGGGGAAAAATGCAAAATTTAACCTATAATGTCATGATTATTCAATTTTTGGCCCCAAAATAAATGATGAAAATAGTGCCCTTTAAGATTTTTTCTTTATTGTGTGTGTGTGTGTGTGTGTGTGTGTGTGTGTGTGTGTGTTTGAGCATTTAACCCTTTATTATTTTTGATATGATGTATGCTGACGCCTTTTAATATTGTATGTTTTCCATATTGCAAATACCCCTGGTGTACTAGGCCTTATGGTTCAGTAGAATAAAATATTACATTTCCAAAGCCACTGATCAAAGTGGGGTAGTCATAACATCACACATTAGGATAAAAGTCCACCCTTTTCTTTGATAAGCCCTCAAACGATGCCTTTAATAAGCATGTAACTATTGTAGATGCTGAAACAGTGAAGAGAAGAGAGAATAAGATAAAAGAATTCTCATTTATAAAGCTGTAAGTGTTTGTTAGGGGCTGTGCATGACTTAACCATCCTTAATCTGCTAAAAATGCAGCAAATAGATATTCCTGCAGATAAAGACCCTGAGGTACTCATAGTGTGCTGTAATTGGCCTCCAAATCAGCAGTTATTGTTAGGGTCAGAATTTGCATTTGAACTCAGGTCCTCCTGCCTCAGTAACCTAGTCTTCTTACGTAACAGCCAAAACATGTCAGAAATGATTAAAGTCTAAAAAGATTGAAATTGACAGCCTTTGAAAGATACAATTTTAGAAATATAAGAAGTACTACACATACTTTTTTCTTAAAAATATAAAGTTTCCTTTAATTCTGACATTGTCTAAATACCTGCTGTACTGTATATAAAACAAACAGAAATGAACTAAATTTTAAATTACCTCCTCACAGATATTTCCTTTGTTTTCTCAGTTTGTGCTCATATATCCATTTTACGTTCTGATTGTTTTTGTATTTCCTGACTGTAGGCATCTAATGTGTCAGCAATGTCATGACATTAAACAAATATAGGTTAGATCATGTTAAAGTGAAATCATTTGTATCATTTATTAGAAGTCTAGATTTAGAAGTCTTTATTTGTAAAGACTCCAAATTTGGTGAAATAATTTATTTTTAGAAATTAATTGGCTTGAAGTTGAATGTAGCAAGCTTTGATTACATACTAACTTATTGAGAAACTGCCACATATAAGTATACATTTTTTATTTCTATCCTATTTCTTATGTTTTTATTTTTTTACATGGTCAAAAATATAGTACATGGAAATGAATTACAAGCTACCGGATGTTCCCTAGTACTTAATTAAAGGAAGCGGGGCTGAATACAGCTTGTAGGCAGATGGGCTGACGCAGCGGAGACACTTTCCCTTTGCTGAGTTGCTCAAGATTCATTCTTCTGTGCTCACTTCTTTGGGATTGTCTCAGTCCTCTACTGAAGGGACCGTCTGCCTGCTCACGTGTGCTGATGACACCAGGTACCAAAAGATAGCACTCTTACAGCACCTTCTCCTTTCAGATGTGTCTTCTGTCCCTGGGCCCTGCCCGGGCCCGCTAACTGAGCTGTCTGCATCCACTCTGCTGCTGTGATCATTTCTCTTGCTGCCACCGTACTCTTCTCATGCTCAGGAATAAAACCCAGACTCCTTATCATGGCCTTCAAGTGGTATATCTTTCTACCTCTTTTCCCTCATCTCTGATTACTCTTTCCCTCTAGCAGCACTGTTCTTCTTGCTGTTCCTCAGACAAGTTGTCTTTCCCTTCAAGGCCTATGCTAGCTAGCTATTCCCTTTTTTTTTTAAACTGTTCTTTCTCTTATTCTCCGCCCACTCCCAGGTATTTGTGTGGTCCTCTTTCCTCCATCATTTAAGTCTCTAGTAAAAATGTCACCTTTATAGAAGTGTCTTCCCTTTGTCCTTGTGTGCTTTCTGTGTCCCCCATTTGAATCCAGTTCATTGAGGTTACTGTACTCTCCGGTCTCTGAACAGTGACTGGCTGCCCTCCACGGCTGTGTGTAGAGGATGCTCATGAATATGTTAAGGGAGTGGATAAGTGCATCCCCAAGTGCCCCAGATCTAGGGCTGTTTCACAAGTTTTCAGACAGCTCTGAGGCTGTCAAATTAGAATAGCAATAGTCTTATTGCCAACTTAACTGCATACATTTAATAACCAGGTCTTGTTTGAATGTAGGATCACATTTCATCATAGAAGGGCTCAGTTTATTTCATAATACTTCTGGGAAAATATATTAGCAGAGTCAGTTACTTATAGCGAAGCAAAATGAAAGAACTTGTATTTGTATGCTGCATTACCACCATTTTATTGCTCTACTATAGATGCTGTACATATGCAGAGACCTATTCAAAATTTTTCTTAAAATGTAAGCTTGAGGGGCTGATAAATAGGAAAGAATATAGGCTTTGGAATCAAATCTATATTAGACTTCTGGCTCTGCATTTAACTAGCTGTGTGACCTTAGGGAAATTTCTCTGAACTGTAGTCCTCACCTGCAAAACAAGAATAACGAATACTACCTACCTCATAGATTTATTGTAAGACTTAACTGTAATTGCAATAATGTATGTAAAACATATAAAATGGCTTATATATAAGTAGGTGCTTAAAAAGTTGTGATGTATTTTTTTTTAAATAACAGCAGTGGCAGCAAGAGGTGGAACTCCGGCTTGTATTTTTAATCTCTTGTCCTAACAATTAATTTAAAAAGATCTCTGCATTCAAGGG